TCCCAGCACATTGGGAGGACAAGGCGGGTGGAACACGAGGTCAAGAGATTGAAACCATCCTGGCCAGCATGGTGAAACCCCTTCTCTACTAAAAAATACAAAAATCAGCTGAGCATGGTGGTGCGCACCTGTAGTCCCAGCTACTCGTGAGGCTAAGGCAGTAGAATTGTTTGGACCCAGGAGGTGGAGGTTGCAGTGAGCTGAGATCACACCACTGCACTCTAGCCTGGCTCCTGACGACAAAACAAGACTCTGTCACACACACACAAAAAATTTTCCACTAAGCCTATGTCTAGAGGATAACACTCAATGACCCACTAGACACGGCCTACCTAGTTTTAAAAACAACAAAATGGGCCGGGCGCGGTGGCTCAAGCCTGTAATCCCAGAATTTTGGGAGGCCAAAGCGGGTGGATCACAATGTCAAGAGATCGAGACCACCCTGGTCAACATGGTGAAACCCCATCTCTACTAAAAATAAAAAAAAATTAGCTGGGCATGGTGGCACATGCCTGTCATCCCTCCTGAGGCAGGAGAATTGCCTGAACCCAGGAGGCACAGGTTGCAGTGAGCCAAGATCGCGCCATTGCACTCCAGCCTGGGTAACAAGAGGGAAACTCCGTCTCAAAAAAAAAAAAAATGTACACTCTGACTAACCATCAAACTCTAACTGATTAACAAAATACACTGATGATAACAACAAATCATTTGAGGCGGTGCTTTCCAAGGCTTTGACCACCAACGAAAATGTACTCCACTAAACCCACTATGATTATACTACTAAATACATTCATCCTTTTGGACTCACAAGGAACAACAACTTTATGTCACAATAGTTGCATAAAAGGCAATCACATAACAAATGCCTCAAGCATTTTTATTACTATTACCTAAGAATTAATTTTACATTTCCTCAAGGCTCAAAATATTTTCAAACACTATTTGACTCACATTTATGTGTATGAGCCTACATTTTTCATTACAACAAGCTATCATAAAACAACCTGAAGTATATGTTTCCTCCACCAAGTAATAATTTACTTTATATTAAATCATCAGGATCCAAGGCAATTTTTACTGACTTACAAAACTTCTATGGGGAAAGATTGCTAGTTGAAATCTATGCCATGATATCATCCTGGCCAGTCAATCTGAGAAGTTGACTATACATCAAAAGTTATAATTTCTTCCTGGGTCCTGTGGGATTATATTCAGTTTCTTCATCTCCTACAATGTAGTGAGAGACTAGAAATTCCTCTTTACAAGCCAGACTACGTCAGGAGTTTCTGGAATTATCTGAACATTGTGATTATTGTAGTTTAAGAATGACAAATTCCCTTCCTACATATAAATTTAAAAGTGTATTTATTTGCAGTCTTGATTCCCCTTTGCCATGTAACATATAAAAGAAATTCACAGGTTCTCAAGACGTGTACATGGTGATCTTTAGTGGGCCATGATTCTACCTACTATGATGATCAATATAAAAATCATTAAAGGCTGGGCACAGGGGCTCATGCCTGTAATCCCAGCACTTTGGGAGGCCGAGGTAGGTGGATCATGAGGTCAGGAGTTTGAGACCAGCCTTGCCAACATAGTGAAACCCCATCTCTACTAAAAATATAAAATTAGACGGGCATGGTGGCACACGCCTGTAGTCCCAGCTGCTCGGGAGGCTGAGGTAGGAGAATAACTTGAACTTGGGAGGTGGAGGTTGTGGTGAACCAAGATCATGCCACTGCACTTCAGCCCAAGCAACAGAGTGTGGCTCCGTCTCAAAAAAAAATTAAAATATTTTACATAGTTTCATTTTCTCATGCTATGCCTTTGAAATCTAATGTATTTTATACTGGCAGCATCTCTAAATTCAGAATAGCCACATTTCAGGTGTTCAGTGGCTACAGGTAACCAATGATTACATATTAGACAGTATAGTTCTAAATAATAACCAATATTTATGAGCATTTTGTGTAGAATAGTGCTATTCAATAGTACTTTTTTTTTGGAGACAGAATCTTACTCTTTCACCAGGCTGGAGTGCAGTGGCACAATCTCAGCTGACTGCAACCTCCGTCTCCAGGGTTCAAGCGATTCCCCTGCCTCAGCCTCCCAAGTAGCTGGGATTACAGGTGTGTGCTACCACATCCAGCTAATTTTTTGTATTTTTAGTAGAGATAGGGTTTCATCATGTTGGTTAGGCTGGTCTCAAACTCCTGGCTTCGTGATCTGCCCACCTTGGTCTCCCAAAGTGCTGGGATTATAGGCGTGAGCCACCACACCTGGCCAGTTTATAAAATATTTCACATAAATTAGAGATTTTTTTTCAGTGAAGATGTGTGTTTATCATGTGTTGGGAATGGGTACGATGAATTCTCTTTTCAGGTAAGATTGGAAGCTGGCTCAGAGCTCATCCAGTCCAATCTCCCACAAGTATAGAAGTACCCTGATAAAAATCTCAGAGCTGACTGTCCAGTTGAGATTTGCATACCTCCAGAAATGGGGCTCTTAAGAGGACCCCATTCTGCTGTTGGACACCTCCAATGGTTGGCACATTCCTTCTGGCAGCCTCTTTCTTGGGTTGGTGGTGGGCAGATACTGTCACTCCAGCCTAACACTTAGGACAAGAGAGGCAGCTGGGGTGGGAACAGAGGCAGGAAAAACAAAGTTGAATCCAGGAATGAACAGAGATATGGCAGGATGGGCAGGGACATTCCTGGGGTGCCAGTAGTCTCAGGAGGCACTGGGGAGGAGGCTGCAGATGGCGAGATTCCAAGCAGGAGGTGACTCAGAAGGCTGGGTTGTCAATATCCTTCTGATCCCTGGTATATTCTTCAGGCCTGAAGCTGTAGAGAGAGAGAGGGTAGCTCTGTGGGAGTTGCACCCAGGATGGGCTTCAGAATCACTTCACTGTAGGAGTTTGGGGGTGCAGAGAGGAATGCTCTGACCCTCTCTGGGGGGATGACGGAGGGCAGTTCCGGGGGTCCCCAGCAATGCATCAGTGCGTCTGGCTCCAGCTCTCTGCAGTTGTGACAGAAGTGCTTAGCCAGATCACAGATGCACAAGAGGGGCACGGACCAAGAAGATGATGACAAGGAGCCTCAAGGGGCTGGGGAAAAACTTGTTCTCCTGGCAGCAGCTATCACCACAATATCTGAATTCTTTGGGGCAGGTGAAGGAGGGACCACATTTTGGCGGCAACCTTTTGGGGGCCAGCAAGCAGGCTGAGCAGCAAGGTGGGCATGAGGCTGGGGACCCCAGAGATCTTTTTTTGAGATGGCATCTCACTCTGTCATGCAGGCTGGAGAGCAGTGGCACGATCACAGCTCACTGCAACCTCTGCCTCACCGGTTCAAGCCATTCTCCTGCCTTCTAACTAGTGGCTGGGATTACAGGTACACACTACCAGGCCTGGCTAATTTTAATATTTTTAGTAGAGACAGGGTTTCACCATATTGGCCTGGCTGGTCTTGAACTCCTGACCTCAAGTGAGCTGCCGGCCTTGGCCTCCCAAAGTGCTGGAATTACAGGCGTGAGCCACCGTGCCCAGCAAGAGATTTTGTTTTTTTATGTCTCAGCCTGAGTGACATAGGGAGACCCCCCCTCCTACAAAAGACAAAAAATTAACTGAGCATGGTGTTATGTGTCTGTGGTCCCAGCTACTCAGGAGGCTGAGACAGGAGGGTCACCTGAGCCCTAGAGGTCAAGGCTGCAGTGAGCCAATATCATGGCACTGCACTCCAGCCTAGATGACAGAGCAAGACCCTGTCTCAAAAAGAAACAACAACAACAAAAAAATCCAGTCAATTTCCTCCATTTTTATCAAGGAAGACATGTAGGAAACAGTACAACAAGAGACAAATTAACACACTCAAATTTATTTTGTCCACTTCCAGGGTGCCTACCTATGCTGGGTTTGCCTCACTCAGCTAAGAATAGCCATTCAAGAACAGCCAAGGTAAAATCAGCCACATTCTTTCACATTCCAAATTGCCAGCGCCTCTTCTAAAACTTAAGTTCTGTTTCTAAAATAGAGTATGCCAACATAGGGAAAAGAGTGGGAATGGGAGCGGATTTGAAGTCTCAAAATAACTGTAGTATAATTTGGGGATTTTGGAAAATCACACTATTCACAAGCAAAATAAGCATGGTGTTAATATTTCCTGCTGAAAAATTATATATCTGCAGTGATGGCAGGAAACAGTTGATAATTTTATAGTATCAGACCACAGTGGTCTTAGTGCTCCCCTCACATGGAAGTGAGGAGAGTATAGTGCAAGGGAGGGTGAAGATTACCCTTCTGTCACAATGCTAATGCTGATTTGCTGCAGTGGAAGCACTGGACGACTCCACAGTTGTTCACACAGTGAGGTTTCTGAAAAGGGAGTTTGCCACCTTATGAACCAGAATATCTTCACTTTTGAATACAAGAGAAACCATTGTTTCCTACAAATCTGACATACTACCAAAAGTAATCATGCTGCAGTATACATTTTGTTTACCAAATGGCCAACACTGAGGGATGGTGTTGTGATCTATGGAAATCCACCAACAGTTATAGAATATCAAACTTCCTTAATGGCAAATATGAATACCTAAGGAGGTTATACAAAGCAAGAGCTTATACAACATTATCCCCACAAGCAATTAATTCTAAGCTCTTCCATCAAAGTAATTCATCAGCTAAGGTTGCAAATAACCCATAAATCTCAACGGCTTAACACAATAAAAGTTTTTCTCGCTCCTTGCGCAGTAGTGCTAGCGGCTTCGCGCTTCGGTCCTCGGACCCGGCAGGTCCGAGGTGCTAGGCTGCTAGGAAGCCCCTCTCGGCGAGCTCGTTGGAGCTAGAACCCACTGTCACTTCTCCAACTCACCGGCAAAAAAAAAAAAAAAAAAAAAAAAAAAAGGTTGAAGCAGATGGCCCAGGAAAGCTCTTCATTGGTGGGCTTCATACGGAAACAAATGAGAAAGCTCTTGAGGCAGTATCTGGCAAATATGGACGAATAGAAGTACTCTTGATGAAAGACCATGCAACCAACAAATCAAGAGGATTTGCTTTTGTCATCTTTGAATGCCCAGCAGACGCTAAGAATGCAGCCAGAGACACGAATGGAAAGTCATTAGATGGAAAAGCCATCAAGGTGGAACAAGCCACCAAATCATCATTTGAAAGTGGTAGACGTGGGCCACCTCCACCTCCAAGAAGTAGAGGCCCTCCAAGAGGTCTTAGAGGTGGAAGAGGAGGAAGTGGAAGAACCAGGGGACCTCCCTCACAGAGAGGACACATGGATGACGGTGGATATTACATGAATTTTAACATGAGTTCTTCCAGGGGACCACTCCCAGGAAAAAAAGGACCACCAGGAAGTGGGGGTCCTCTTCCTAAGAGATCTGCACCTTCAGAACCAGTTGGCAGCAGCAGTGGAATGGGAGGAAGAGCTCCTGTATCACGTAGAAGAGATAGTTACGGAGGTCCACCTCGAAGAGAACCGCTGCCTTCTCGTAGAGATGTTTATTTGCCCCCAAGAGATGATGGGTATTCTACTAAAGACAGCTATTCCAGCAGAGATTACCCAAGTTCTGGTGATACAAGAGATTATGCACCACCACCATGAGATTATACTTACCATGATTATGGTCATTCCAATTCACGTGATGACTATCCATCAAGAGGCTATAGCGGTAGAGAGGGAGACGCCGTGACTATTCAGATCATCCAAGTGGAGGTTCCTACAGAGATTCATATGAGAGTTATGGTAACTCACGTAGTGCTCCACCTCTACGAGGATCCCCGCCATCTTACGGAGGAAGCAGTCGCTATGCTGATGACGGCAGCTCACGTGACAGATATGGTGGAAGTCGAGACAGTTACTCAAGCAGCCGAAGTGATCTCTACTCAAGTGGTTGTGATCAGGTTGACAGACAAGAAAGAGGGCTTACCCCTTCTGTGGAAAGGGGGTACCCTGCTCCACATGATTCCTACAGCAGTTCAAGCCGCGGAGCACCGAGAGGTGGCGGCCGTGAACGAAGCTGATCTGATAGAGGGGGAGGCAGAAGCAGATACTAGAAAAAAACAAAACTTTGGACCAAAATCCCAGTTCAAAGAAACAAAAAGTGGAAACTATTCTGTCGTAACTACCCAAGGACTACTAAAAAGAAAAATTGTGTTATCTTTTTAAAATTCCCTGTTAAGTTCCCCTCCATAGTTTTTATATTCTTCTGAGAAAAAAAGTAAAACATGTTTAATTTTATTTGACTTTATGACATTGCTTTTCAACAAGCAAATGTTAAATGTGTTAAGACTTGTACTAGTGTTGTAACCTTCCAAGTAAAAGTGTCCCTAAAGGCCACTTCCTATGTGATTTTTCCCAGTAAGTGAGGCAAGCAATTCTAAGCTCTTTCACAAAACATCTAGTCATCTAAAATGGAGAGATGAATCATTCTGCCTATAGAAACAAGCTAGCTGTTAGAGGGTGGTCTAACAACTAAAACCTCCATGATCTCAGTATGAAAAACCTGAAATCAGATGCCTATGTAAGGAAATATTCACCCAGTAAACCCAACAAAGCAAATGGATAATGCTGGCCACTTTGCCTTTCTGACATTTCCTCGGGAATCTGCAAGAACCTCCCTTTTCCCCTCCCCCAGTAACACCATTTAAGTGTGTGTTAAACAACTACAGATTACTAAATAAAAAGTTTAGCCAAAACAAAACAAAAAAAAAGTTTTCCTCTTGTTCACGCTACAGTCTTATGTGAACTGTCCTTTAAGCAGCTAAACTGGTAGCTAAACCATCTAGAAAGTGAGCTATCCAAGGTCACCATGGCAGGCGAAGAGATCTAAAGAACTCAATTAAAAACCAGGCTGGCTGGGGCACGGTGGCTTATCCCTGTAATCCCAGCACTTTGGAAGACTGAGGCGGGCAGATCACTTGACATCAGGAGTTCAAGACCAGCCTAGCCAAGGCAGTGAAACCCTGTCTCTACTAAAAATACAAAAGTTAGCTGGGCATGGTGGTGTGTGCCTGTAATCCCAGTTACTCGGGAGGCTGAGGCAGGAGAATCGCTTGAACCCAGAAGGTGGAGGTTGCAGTGAGCCAAGACTGTACCACTGCCCTCCAGCGTGGAGGAGAAGGCAAGACTCTGTCTCAAAAAAATAAAATAAAAATAAAAATTGGGGCCAGGCGTGGTGGCTCATGCCTGTAATCCTAGCACTTTGGGAGGCCAAAGTGGGTGGATCACCTGACGTCAAGAGTTCAAGACCAACCTGGCCATTATGGTGAAACACCATCTTTAAAAATAAAAAATAAAATAAAATAAATAAATAAAAATTGGGAAGAGAGGAGGAAATTTTCTTCTTCCTGTCTGCCCAGGAATAATGACAACACAGTTCTACTTCTGACACAGAGGAAGAGCTTCTCAGATCCCAAAGTTCTCCAACAAGGACATGGACCTCTAGGTGATAAAACAAATTCAGCCAGGCTCATGAAACTTTCTTTACCATTCTCAGTGGGGCATGTTTCACCATCCTGGCCCCTACTCTCACCTGATTATTGTTCTAATGTGAACTACTTTTTCATTCTTATTTTCAATTGAGTGTATGGGTCAGGGGTTTAAAAACATTTGACATTCAACCCTATGGAAAAAGGAAAATAATGAGAGAAACAACCTGAAATCATAAAGATTTGTGATAGATACAATGATGTTCCCTTAAGCTTCTCAGCCAACAAAGGGATACCTAATGAAGAAGTTAATCTGTATTAGTCAGTGTCCTACAGAGAAACAGAATCAATGGGATGTGTGTATGTATATAGAGACACACATGTATATATATGTGTGTGTCTATATATATGCATATATACATATGAAGAGATGTATTTTTTAAAATTTTGTGTCAGTTGTGCCTCTAGATATGAGAAAAGATTTATTATAAAGAATTGGCTCATGTAGTTATGGAGGCTAAGAAGTCCCAACATCCTCAAGTCAGCAAGCTGGAGACTGGGGAGAGCCAGTGTGTGTTTATTTGGGTGGCTAGGAGATGTGGTAGATGGAGTTTATAAGGAGGGAAGTCTTCTGAGATACCTTTTGGCACATATCCTGGCAACTGCTCACCTTACTTCCACAAGGGAGTCAGCCCTGAAAGATAAACCATGTGGCTGAGCAAGGAACTTTTTTTTTCCTTTTTGTTATAAACACTTTCAAACACAAGCAAAAATATAGAAATGTTATGTATAGAATGATATAATGAGCTTGATGTGTCCATCATTCAGTTTCAACAACGACCAGCTTTTTGTCATTCTTGTTTCACCTATTCCTCCATTCAGTCTTTTGGAGGGCTAGATTTTAAAGCAAATTCCAAATGTCATGTAATTCCAGCCATGCACAAATAGACTGTAATTCTAACAGATGAGAACTTTGAAAAAACCATAAATACAATAGCATTATCACATTTTTAAAAGTTTAACAATCCCTTATTTAACAATTTAACAATTCCTTTAAAAATTTAATGTAAAATTTTTAAATTTAAATTCACAATTCCTTCTAATTCTTAGACTATGTATAATTTTCCCAGTTGTCTCAAAAATAGCCTTGTACAGTTGCTTTGTTTGAACAGGGCTAAAATAAGATCCAGATATTGCATTTGGTTGATATTTAAATATTTCTTGTCTTGAATCTGTAATAGTTCTTCCTTCTCCCTCCACCCATTTTTTCTTTTCTTTTCTTTTCTTTTCTTTTTGGTTGTTTCTAGCAGTTTTTAATAGCCAAAAACTAGAAAAAACTCAAATGTCTGCTAATAGGTAAATGGGTTAGCAAACTGCAGTATAGCTATACAATGCAATACTACTCAATTCTACAATGCTACTCAAATACTACAATACAAAGATACTACTTAAATACTGCAATACAAAGAATAAATGTGCTACAGCATGAATAAATCTCAAAATTCTCAAGTGAAGAAGTCAGGCAAAATAGAGTACACGTATTGCATGATTCCATTTATGTAAATTTCAAGGAAATCTAAACAAATGTAGAGTGACCAAAAGCAGATTAGTGATCACCTTGGAGTGAAGAAGCAGGGTGAAAGGGAGGGGAAACAAAGTGGGGGAAATGTGGGGAAGGGTGGAATAATGGGATTATAAGGAGCATTAAAAAATTGGGGAGTGATAGGTGTGTTCAGTATCTTGATTGTGGTACCCCCTTTTATTCAATTTTATTTGTTGAAGAAACTGAGACATTTGCCCTATAGAATTTGTCACATTCTGAGTTTGATTGCATCCTTGTGTTGTCATTTAACATGTTTTTCTATCCTCCATCCTTATTTTTCTGTAAACTATTAAATCTAGAAGCTCAATCAGATTGAGATTCAACTGCAGGGACAATATATGATGCTGGGTACTTGCTACTTCATCACATTGGAAAGTCATAATATCTGGTTCTAAACTTTTATGACATTAAGACTGATTAATAAATTGATGGGTTGTCAAAGTAATCTGCCCATTATAAAGTTCTCCATCAGTCTATCACCTAATGGTTTTAACAGCCAATGGATGATTGCTGCTTAAATTTATTAATCAGGAGCTCCAGAATTGTATCTTTCTAATACTTTATTTATTTATTTATTTATTTTGGAGAGGAGGAGTCTTGCTCTGTCACCCAGGCTGGAGTGAGTGGTGTGATCACAGATTACTGCAACCTCAACTTCCTGGCCTCCAGCAATCCTCCCACCTTAGCCTCCTGAGTAGCTGGGACCACAGGTGTGTGCCACCATGCCCAGCTAATTTTGTATTTTTGCCATGCTACACAGGCTCATCTCAAACTCCTGATCTCAAGCAATCCACTTGCCTTGGCCTCCCAAGGTTTTGGGATTACAGGTATGAGCCACTGTGCCTGGCCAGATCTTCTAATACTATCTTTCCTTCTAAATTTACCATTTGCATTTATCTCATCAACAAGAATATTTACTCATCTATAACTTGGTTACTCTGAAATATAGTTTACATGGGAGAGGAAGGGTACTTAATTCACTACTTTATCAATGTTCAGGATTAGCTGATATCCTAGAAACCTCTAAAGGTGACTTTTTGTTTGCAGAACACATGGATTTGTATATTTGTTATGTTTTAATACATTGCAGATATTGTTTTTTGTGTGTGTGTGGTTCAAATTGCCCCAAATTTGGCTAGTGTGCTTTAAGTTGATCCCTATGTCCATACAATCCCAGTAGTTGTACTGACTCATCTTGTACATTTCCTGCCCCAAAACTGAAATCAGCCTTTTTTTTTTTTTTTGAGATGGAGTCTGGGAGCTCTGTCTCCCAGACTGGAGTGTAGTGGCATGATCTCAGCTTATTGCAACCTGCACCTCCCAGGTTCAAACTATTCTCCTGCCTCAGCCTCCTGAGTACCTGGGATTACAGGCACGTGCCACCACACCCATGATGGTCAGGCTGGTCTCGAACTCCAAACCTTGTGCTCTGCCTGCCTCGGCCTCCAAAGTGCTGGGATTACAGGTATCGGCCACCATGCCCAGTCTTTTTTTTTTTTTTTTTTTTTTAAGTTCTACTGCTTTTTGTAGGGAAATGGCATTTAGAAACCAGAATTGGCACTGGGAGTCATCATTTCTATGTCCTTTCAGTAGACAAACCTAGGAAGTATGTGAATTTTAGAAAGAAAAATAAATCATAAATTCATATGAATATTTCTAGATCAAATGAAGCATTATAGAATTTTTCTTAATTTCTTTGATTTTTATATTTGTTCTTTTCTTTTTTAATTATTATTATATTTTTTATAAGTTATTGTGGTACAGTGGTATTTGGTTACATGAGTAAGTTATTTAGTGGTGATTTGTGAAATCCTGGTGCACCTGAGCAGTATACACTGAACCATGTATGTTGTCTTTTATTCCTTGCCCTGCTCTTACTCTTCCCCTCAAGTCCCCAAAGTCCATTGTATCATTCTTATGACTTTGCGTCCTCATAGTTTAGCTTCCACATATCAGTAAGAACATACAATGTTTGGTTTTCCATTCCTGAGTCACTTCACTTAGAATAGTAGCCTCCAATCTCATCCAGGTCATTGCAAATGCTGTTTGTTTATTTCTTTTTATGGTTGAGTAGTATTCCATATATGGTGGATATATATGTATATATATGTGTGTGTGTGTGTGTGTATACACCACAATTTCTTTATCCACTTGTTGATTGATGGGCATTTGTGTTGGTTCCACGATTTTGCAATTGTAAATTGTGCTGCTATAAACATGCATGTGCAAGTGTCTTTTTTGACTACTGGCTTCTTTTCCTCTGGGCAGATACCCAGTAGTGGGATTGCCGGATCAAATGGTAGTTCTACTTTTAGTTCTTTAAGGAATCCCCACATTGTTTTCCATAGAGGCTATACTGGTTTACATTCCCACCAACAGTGTAGAAGTGTTCCCTGATCCCTGCATCCACATCAACATCTACGGAGTTTTTTTTTTATTTAGTTTTTAAAATTATGGCTATTCTTATAGGAGTAAGGTGGTATCATATCGTGCATTTGATTTGCATTTCCCTAATCATTAGTGATGTTGAGCATTTTTTCATGTTTGTTGGCCATTTGTATATTACGTTATCTGTGAGTTTGTCACAGAGGGCTTTTATTACATCTTTTGAGAAATGTCTATTCCTGTCCTTAGCCAACTTTTGAATGTGATTTTTTTTTTTCTTTCTAATTTGTTTCAGTTTGTTTTAGATACTGGATATTAGTCCTTTGTCAGATGTAGAGATTGTGAAGATTTTCTCCCACTCTGTGAGTTATCTGTTTACTCTGCTGACTGTTCCTTTTGCTACGCAAAAGCTCTTTAGTTTAATTAGGTCTCTGCTTTTTATATTTGTTTTTATTGCATTTACTTTTGGTTTTCTGGTCATGAAATCCTTGCCTAAGCCAGTGGCTAGTAGGGTTTTTCCAATGTTATCTTCTATAATTTTTATAGTTTCAGGTCTTAGCTTTAAGTCCTTAATCCATCTTGAGTTGATTTTTGTATAAAGTGAGAGATAAAGACCCATCTTCATTCTCCTACATGTGGCTAGCCAATCATCCCAGCACTATTTGTTGAAAAGGGTGTCCTTTCCCCATTTTATGTTTTTGTTTGCTTT